GAGAGATTGCTATGACCTTTAACCTCTATATGAAGCATTGGCAGAGGTCAGCAGGATATTTGGGGCAAGCTATCATCAATATGATGATAACACCCAATTCAGGTGAAGGTATGCATGTTCTGAACCAGTGGCTTGTCACAGTGATGGACTGAGTGAGGGCCAACAAACTGAGCATGAATCCTGACAAGACAGAGACTCTATGGATGGTCAGTTTTCAGGTACAGGAATTGGGGAGTTTGCCTGTTCTAGATGAGGTATATTCACCCCACCTTAAAACAGTTATATCTACCTTGTTTCTGAGTAAGGGGCTAAGGAAATTATTTGACTTACTGATTGGTCAGAAATACATAAGGCCTAGTAGTTATTGAAGGATTTCTCCACATGAATTTTTCCAATCCCTGCATCTTGTGCAAAGAAATCCCATAGTTAAGCTATGTGCTGTATGAAGAAATACTTCGTTTTTTCTGTCATGAATCTCCCACCAATCAACTTTATGGGTAACCTTGGGTTCTGGTATTATGGGAGAGGCAGAAAAATGTCTCCCTATCTCCTTTCCCCAAACCATGCATAATTCTGTACAGCTCTATCTGTTTCTTGCCATTTTTCTAAGCTAAACATTACCAGTGTTGTACCTTTCTCTCATAGGGGAGTTGCTCCAACATCTTGATCATTTTAACTGCCCTTCTCTGCCCTTTCTCTAACTCTTTTTAGTGCAGTGACCAGAAATGTACACAGTATTCTAAGTGCAGTTGCACATAGACTATCTGGGTAAATAAGGTAATGAGGTGATTTCAAGCAGAAAGAAGAGATGGGAATTCTGGCCCTGGAAACATGGATTAGGCACCAGAGTAGAAGAGGAAACAAGCCTGAAAGGACTGCAAAGAATTGGCTTGAGAGCCTGGCAAGCAATTTTTGAAGCAGTTTGACAGCAAGTCCCATGATCAAAGAACAGCATCACTGCCTGGACTCAAAGACCATCATAGACGTCAGAATAAGGAATACAAGTGGATCAGCTATAGGTTGGGCTAGGACAAAGTGATCAATAGCCTGACCATGTTTTCCCCCAAAGCTGTAGACAATTTAAGGATAGCTTTTTCTGACCTCAGTTATGACTTAGTGGTGAATGCCATGCTGTTCAATCAACTTTATACCTTTTGCAAAACCTTACTTTCCACTTCTCTTCCCATCCCCGGGTGTGTGTATGTGAGCCAGGGGGAGGGGAGTGTGAAGAGAGTTGTTGTTCCTCAGATTGTTTTAAGGAGGCATATGACTTAGTTGTACAGCTGTATTCAGTAGCTTTCTCATAAAAGTCTATTTATGCATCTTTATTACTTTGCAGGCACCTAACTTCCCATTAAGTTAGTCTTCGGTCTCTTGAATACAGCTGTGCAAAGTATGGTACATTTTTACCAAAATGTTTTCTTTTGGACTCTCTGCCTAAGTATGATATATTTAAGGGAATCAGGAAAAAAGATCAAATTACTCTTGAACATGAGTCACTTTATGATAAATAATTCTACAATTTTCTTTATTATGAAACATTTTTACTCAAGATTTGTTTTATATATTTCCTTTTTATTCTTGCATATCAAAAGATTCTAATTATTTATGTTTTTCTTGGTGCTTCACTGGAATCCCAGTAAAGCTGAAGCATTTTGTTTAAACATACTTAGTCCCACTGTGACTAATGTTACTCATTCTGTTTAAATCCAGTGTCTTTATAGCTTAAATCCAGGATCCATAGGAAGGAGTTGTAAATTGACCTCAGATATTTTTTTAAGCAGTTACCCTTTTGGACATCCTCATAAAATGTTTTAAAGGTAAAAAGGTAAAGGTTTCCCCTTGACATTAAGTCCAGTCATGCCTGACTCTAGGGGGCGGTGCTCATCTCCGTTTCCGGGCTGAGGGAGCCAGCGTTTGTCCGCAGACAGTCTCCGTGGCCATGTGACCCTTTTAATCTGAGATTTCATATTAGAAACAATGCTCCTTCCCAATATAGGGGACAAAGAAAGATTAGCCAGTGCTGTGTGTTTGTGTACATGTCATGCCTGTTACTGAATTTTTGGCATGCCTTTGATCAATAGAACACACCTCAAATGCTACTTGATTAAGCACTGATTATATGTTTCATCAGTGTATATACCATCTTCAGAGTCTATCAACTCTCTGCTTTTAGAAGCTTAAGAGCTGAAATCTACCATCTGAATAATCAGGCATTGCTTATTTTATGTACAAGCTAATATTTCAGTGGACCATTAATAAAGAGTAAGCTACACAGAGATTTACCTCTTTCAGTTGTTGTAAGTTTGCCACTGATAAACTAGGCCATTCATTGGGGGACATTAATTTTGAACAGTAGTGCTTTATCAGACCATAAAGATTATTTTTCCCCTCTCTCCATTTCCAAACAGTTGACTGTTTGAATAAGGACCTGGATAGTATATATACCAAGGTTTTTTCTCTAAATTAACTGTGCTGTAGTCCTTACTTCTGTAATTGAAAACATGGCTTGCTTTTTTCTTTGATGCAGTATTTTTCCATCATTGTTTTGCTCTGTGCAATTTCATAAAACATACTTCTTATGTACAGGCAGTTCTAAACAGCTTTGATCAATTATCATCTCATACTTCAGAATTGCCCAAAGTGCTCTATACATAGTTTATTTTAGTTAAGCAGGCATTGTTTTAGCATGTTTATCCTGTGATGTTTGTTTGTTGTTGCCAAGCTGATTCTGCTGTCAGCTGAGGTGGTAAGGTGATACATGCGCAACGTTGGAGCATCCTGAAGAGAATTAGAGATGATAGAGAGCAGTGCGTACACAAGTGTATGTAGTAACGACTGTATAATCTCCTCTGCCTCTCTAATGTTTATAGACCTAACCAAGCCACACACTGCTATAATCCGTAATGCATATGGCATGTAGCAGCTATTCTCCTATTTTATAAGCTGCTTTTGAAGGTGCCCTTGAGGGCAAACACAGTTCCTACAGAATACAATAAAGCAAGGTCGGCTGTCAGCCTGTAAAGCACGTCTGACCCCAAAACAACATTTCCTGGTTTAATCACATCCTCAGTTGGAAGGTAAAAGGAGCAAGCAGAGACTTTCCAAGTACATTTAGACTGGACACAGACTTAGTATAACCCTGCTTGTGTAGTACCAAGATTCTGTTTTCTTTAAATGGCATTTTGTACTTTCTGAACTGATTTTATGTTTTATAATTATATGTTCGTACCATTGTGATAATCATACTGTATGAAGAGAAGCTATATGGCACTTAAAGTTAATGTGTAAAATATTTAACATATAATTGCCACCATATCATCATCTTGTCTTTTCAGCTAACCAGGCAGATGAGCATACTGGTGAATTGAATAATAGATCTAGCCTGTCTTGTTTTCTACAGCCTGCTTAATTCCCACCACTGCAGCCACCTGCTTAACAATTCCATAGTCTTCTGGCTGACAAAAAAGGAACGAACAACCTGCAGCAAACCTTAAAACAGAGAAGCAAATGTGAAAAAACGGAAAATAAAAATATATTTATTGAAAAGCACTTTGTTAAGTCTTCTGACCCAGAACTGCCAGAGAAAGAGAGGCTATTAGTGGTCAAGTGAAGGGGCCAGGACAGAGGTATACAAATTTGTAGTCTGCTGGCTACAAACATTCTTGGAGCATGATTGTAGAGACCTCCTTCTTGATTTGCCCATAAAGAATCACCTGGAAGATGCAGGCCCGATTCTTCCAAAGTAATGACGACGCAGCTTGAATTTCCCTCCCCAGCAGCCCCCCAGGCTCACTGAAATACACTGGACCTAGATGCCTTTCTTTGTCTTTGTGTGGACCATAAAGAGGCAACACTGGTATGAGTACAGAGAGGGAGGGAGGTATAGTGGTTAGAATTTTGGACAAGGACTGGCAAGACCCATGTAGCAACGCTGCATTTTCAGATAAGGCTCGCACTGCTCCGCGTTACAGTAGAAAGTCTATGACACTGAGAAAGAGCACATATTAAATTGACCAGTTCTTGGACTGTTGGGACAGAGCAGGGGCGGGGCAGGACAGTTTGGCTCGGAAGGCTTCTCTTCCTCTTCCTGGCATGAATGACGGGGCCTTGGCAGTCATCAACTGAGGAATGGTGTTGTTATTATCCCGACTGCTGTTTGTTAATATCCTTCACAGTGCTTCTGTGGTGTTCCCCTCTTGCACAGAAACAGGGCCAAGGCAGGTGTTCTGAAAATTCAGCCAGATATCCAAGGTTTAATAAGCTAATTATGACAGCATGGGAAGCTTATGACTCTCAAAATCATGTGTCTGCTCTTTGAGCCAGAGAGGTATGGAGTTTCTCTGGGGTCAGGAAATCCAGGTTCTAGTCCCTACTCAGCCATGCAGTTCATTGGGTAGTCTTGAGCCATTCAGTGACTCTCAGCCTTACCTAACTCTCAGCCTGGTTGTGAGAATCAAATGGGGGGAATGAGAGTCCTGTATGCCACTCTGGATTCCTTGGAAGATGTAATCATAACAAATATGTCATTCTACTCCATATTGCTGAATTACAGAGAGCACATTGGCATAGCAGGAGGAAAAACAATACCCTCCGGTCAATCTGGGAAGTAAAGACATAACTGTGTGCAACATTTTACTAAGGCTCTACCTCTCTCTCTGTTTCTCCCCCCCCCCCCATCTGTAATTTACTGCCCTGAGAGCTTTGGCTAGTGGTCATATAGAAATGAAATAAATCATCATCCAATCAAGATACATAACTTCATGCTATTTATTTTTAGAATGTTGGCTTAGCTCACAGTCTCACTGACATATGGAAATGTGGGGATACATTATCCATGTGACATGTCCAGTTGATGAAGTTGCCACACTCTTATGCCCATTGGGGAGATTTATATGTAAACTATTTCTGTGGATGTGTTCTGCAATCAAAACTTTTAAAGGACTATATACATTTATCTCAACAAAATTACACTGTTTTTCCGCCTCTTTTATTTTTAGAATATCATTGTTAAAAGACGGAGGCCTCCGAATAGCAAATGTGAGTAAATCAGATGCTGGAAGTTACACTTGCCTGGCAGAAAACCAGTTTGGGAAAGCAAGTAGCTCGACCAGCTTATTAGTTACAGGTAATTAGACAGCTAATTGTCTTTCACTTGCAAATTGAATGCATTGGGAAATTTGGGAAAGAGACATTTCAATTTTGAATTCTTGGCTTATTTTTATGTTACATTTTATGCACACTGCATATAAATGTGACATCTATGTTCTTGTTAGGCCAGTATGGATGCTGCTTTATGCAACAGACTGTTTATATTCCATAGACTGTAGATATCAAAGGTTGGGTCCAGAGTACTCTTTCCATTCATTCCTTCAGTTTGCAGAAGTGGGGACTCCCATTGGAGGAAGAAGGGATTTAATTTTCCAAAGTCCTCTTTCCCCGCTGGATTATCTGTGTCACCTTTCAAAAGGTCCCTTAACCCTCAGAGCAGCTTTTCAAGAACTTCAGAAATTTGCAATGTCACTCCTTCCTTTCCTCTTCTATGGACATCACAGGAACTTCAAGTCCAAGACTTTGTCTTTCAGCTATTTTATAGAACATTTTGATATACTTTTGAGTGGACAGCAGTACGAATCTCTTTCTTTGCCATCTCGGTCACAGGTTCATCCTACATTTGCAGAGAGGAACAGCTTCATTCTTTCTGGAAACTGAACTTTTCTCTAAAAACATGTTAGAGACCTTCCTTGTGAAAGGCAAGAAGGAGTATAACAGCTTTTTACTTCATTTTCTGAGGGCAATGGTAGAGATTTTTCAGAAGGAAAAAAAAAGGAGGAACTTCTGTTTGTCGCACACATCAAAATAAAGGGACCATCCATACCCTCTGCCATTTTGTTCAGTCTTCTGTTGGGTTTTTGCTTCTGTCCACACTAAATTTAAGCCTAAGTTTCCTCAGCACTTTTCCTATTTGAAAGGTAGATTTTGCAGCATTTCTGGTTTCATCAGACTTTCCCTCCAGTATTTCAGATGTGCTGCCGAAACACACACTTGACTCTGATTTCTTATATGCCAGATTTGCCAGGGTTAGAAAAGCTTAATTGGCTATTACAGCTGCTCCATTCAGCATATGCTCCTAGTTGGCAGGAAGTTGCCAGAATCTTTTTTATTATCCTAGTATGGTAGCCATGAAGACTACTATGGAGGTGACCATGAGGTGACCCCCATTCTAGGGCACTTAAAGACTACCACTTGATGGCTTAAGTTTCATTCGAGGCATTCAGTTCTCATTGTCTTATGTAAGATCTTAATGAAATAAATTTACCTGTCTGACATAAGGTTTCTGCTTAGTACCTGAAGAGGCATCCAGCAGCACCTTGGTCTTTCTGTCAAAGAGAAACCATGATGGAATAGAGTTCTATTAAAATTGTAATGTGAGTAGTAAGGTTTAACTCACAGTAATGTGGGTCAGCAGTCCCATTCAACTTTGCTTCCATACTCACTTTCAATAAAAGATGCTAAATTTTAAGGTGTTCCCTCTCAAATGGTTAAACTGGCATTAGAATTTCCCCTCTCCAAAGAACAAGATTAATAGCAGCAGCATGTTTTATAATTCACTGATTTTTTAAAATTTCCCTTTCAATTCCTAGATAAGAAGTAATTGCCCAGGTTTTTTTTAATGCTTTTAACAGTTTTGAAAAGTGCTTCAAGTTAGGAAAATCTTTGAGGCAGGGAAGATGTACTAAAAGTTTGACTCAGCTACTTGTTTGTGTGTGAATTGTGTAGAAAATTATAGTTTTCAAAAAACTGCAGAAAAGTGGGACAGTAGCACAAGCAGGTAAAATTAACTGGGCCTGTCCTTCACAGAGCCAACCCGGATAACCCTGGCACCTTCGAATATGGATGTTACTGTAGGGGAAAGTGTAATCTTGCCCTGCCAAGTTCAGCACGATCCGCTGCTGGACATAAGTTTCACCTGGTATTTTAACAGTGCATTGACTGACTTCAGAAAAGATGCATCCCATTTTGAGAGAGTAGGTGGGGTAAGTTGTAAAGTATTTCTTTATCTTTTGCTTCATGAGCTATAGCTATAGAACAGTTCTCTTAAAAGTTCAACAGTATGATTATATTCCTATTAAGTTGTTTGTTTTAAATGTTCTTCTAGTGAGGACTTTTTGGAAAGAGAATGTATTTCCATTAAATCCGTTGTGGTGCTATGGTTTTGCTTTATACTGTTTAACAGATTAAAACAACAGAAGAATTTTTGCAAAATATCTGTTGCATGGATGTATATAGATTGACTGACTTTCCAGGTTGACTTTGGGCTTCAATATTTCTGCAGTGATCATCACTCTCTTAGCTTAAAAAGAAAACCAGGAATTGAGGAAGAGGTATATACATATTTATTTGAAATGCTAAGGACTGCTCATACCAGTCCCAATCAGGCTACTGAAGAGGTTTGAAAAATCCAGTGTGAGATTGCTGATTTCCAGTATCTAATTAAGGAAGGCCTGTGCTTTCCTCACACATCATTATTGTTTTTTGCAAGCATTCCTTGCTAGGTATAAGTGAGAAATTTATTGACTAGTTCCATGCTTCCCGAATCCACACATAAACTGGAACACAATAATGCAATGGCAACATACTCAAATTTTGCAATGCAGTTCAGAGATTAAAAACATGCGTATAAAATACATTTGATAGTCAAATGTGCACACAGAGATCCATGCATCAGGAAAATGGGTGCACAAACCAACATTATGGGGATAGACTTTGACAGATTTGCCCATCCCTTTTCTTTGCATAATTGAACTATCAAGGGATTTTGCCGATAGTTTCAAAGATTGTTCTAAAATGCAGGTGATTTGGGTCACCCCGTTTTTTTTGTTTGGTTCCCACCCACAAGTACAACTGAAAAAAAGGCTATCCTGACCCTCCACTTGGACGTGCAGCCGTGGAAGAGGGAAGCCCTGCCCATCACCTGCACTAAATGAGATCTGGTTTCTTCTGAGGATCACACATAGAAGCCAGGATGGATAGCACCAATGTGTACCCGTACGCATTCAGTATTCCTTCAGAATCATGGGATCTCTGACATGTATTGTGGGCCACAGAGGACAAACACCCAATTTGAACATCACCATGGCAAAGCTTGTGTTACTGTAATAGTGAAGCATGCTTTGTCTTTCTTCTCCATTCTCCTACATGGATGCAAGCAGCTTCTGGTTCACTAACAAACTGCCTGTAAACCGCTGCAGTATCAGCATGTCAGAAAGACCAGTATCAGCTGAAATTGTGGAGGCATCAGTGTTAGAAGTGTTGAGTGTCGTTACTGGTTTTAATGCTGCCCAGATGATTTGTGTTCCATTGGTCAGCATTGTGCTCATCATGGAAGGTGACCTTCCTGTCACTGCAGCTTGTCCATGGCAGCATAGATCCAATTTTGCTCACTGAAGATGTGAATGCAATGTCTTCTGCTGCCAAGTCTCCAAGAAACACTGACAGTTTAAGAGTATGTTGCTGTGGCAATCTTGTTGTGCTTTCATGGTGTCCAAGACTGATTTACACAAAATGCAAAGGCTTTGATACGGTGTTCTTAGAGATCTGAAGAATGATTAACACTAGAACTCAGTTTACACACACACACACACACACACACAGAGAGAGAGAGAGAGAGAGAGAGAGAGATAGAGAGAGAGAGAGAGAGAGAGAGAGA